TCTGTGTGGTTATTTTGGGGCTAAGCTATCTGGGAGGCTGGGATAAACAAACAGCCCTCTCCTTGCAACACTCTGGCATTTCTTTTCCTTTCTTCCCCCAGCCTAAATTCTTTTTCTTACTCTCCATGCCCACCTCTATCTCCTCCCTCGCTATTGGCCATTCAGCTTTTTATTAGACCAATTAGGTGCTTTAAGCAGGCAAGGTAAAACAGCAACACATATTTACCTAATTAAACAAATGCAACACAACTTTACATATTTAGGCAAATGTTCTGCAACATTGCATATATTACTAGGAAAGCAGGAAAGATGACCTGAGGGTAAGACTCCAACCTGTGAAAATGCAAATGCAGCTGAAAGGAAAGAGACTGCAGAGACTGAGAAAGTCAGTGAGGGGTTCCCCTGCTCAAAACCCCATGCACAAGGGACCTGTTTCCCAAGGTCTGCCACACAAAGGCCAGTAATGGCCAGGCTCCATCCTAAGATAGCAGAGGGACTTAGCAGCAGCAGCGACATGACACTGTCTTGCAGGATTGAAAGATATGAGATTGGAGAGGTCATCGAGTCTTGCGTCATAGTTCCAGAGAGTCACTATGCAAGGCAATGTGTGGCAAGGTTGGAGTCCCTCAACAAGGCCCCAAAAGGCCACTGCATGAAGCCGTGAAAGTGAAGCCTGTTTCAGTGGAGACCCCAGAATGTTGGAGATATCTGGTCTTCCTTCTGTTCCTCAATCCTTCCTTTCCAGGGTGGGAATGTTTACCTTATGTCATTGTGTGCTAGAAGGATGTTACTTGGTTGAACGTTATAGGGCTCAGAATGAAGGCATAGCCTCAGTTTAAGACTTGGTACTTAAACTTGGAACTGTTAAAGATCATCTAAGCCAGGTGTGGTGGCACACGCCTTTAATCCCAGCACTTGGGAGGCAGAGACAGGTGGATCTCCGTGAGCTTGAGGCCAGCTTAGTCTACAGAGCAAGTGCCAGAACAGGCTCCAAAACTACACAGAGAAAACTTGTCTCGGAAAAAAAAAAAGAATATCTATTAAAGAGGATAGGACATTTGAAACTGAACTATTGCATTTGCATTATGAGATGCTTGTGAGCCCATGGGGACAGTGGGGTGGAGGCATGGTTGAAAGTCATACATTTGAGTATCAAGTTGACAAGGAGTAGACTTATGATAATTAATATTGATTGTAAACTTGACAGAATCTATAAATCACCATGGAAACAAACCACTGGTCATATCTGTGAGGGCATGTCTCGATTAGGTCTATTGAAGTGAGAATGTAGGCGGCACCATCCCTAGGCAAGTCCTGGACTTTATTTTTTCAAGACAGGGTTTCTTTATGTAGCCATGGCTGTCCTGGAACTCACAGTGCTCCTCTCTGTGTTCCTGTTACACGCTGTGCATGGGTTCCTACCACTGTACACACTGTGGGGGCCTGTAGTGGACATTATATTAGTAAATTGTACGTAGCTTGAGTTCTTTGAAAGGTTCCCCATTTCAGACCCATGTTTGTCTTAGAGTGTGCTCTGCGGTCTGGGGATGGACTGCCCCCCACCAACTCTGTGACCTGGAGAGACACGAACAGCAAAACAACCCAAAAGTAAAGACTTGGAGCCCTTGAGAGCAGCTGGAAGGTGGCCATTCCCAACAGAAGTGACTGTTGTTTATCCCAGGATGTGAAAAGCTCCCCAGCCTGGGGATTTCTGCTGGATGACTCACGGGCCTGACCTGATGACCTCCTCACCTGCTGCTATGTGGTCTTCTACTGAAAGCCTCACCTGAGGGGACACCTACTGTGCTGGGGCTCTTCACAGGGGACTCCAGCAGGTGGCCTAGTTGGGACTTCCCCAGTCAGCAGTACTGATTTGATGTTTGTCCCCTCTCCTCCCTCCCTCCCTCCCTCCCTTCCTCCCTCTCTCTCTCCCTCCCTCCCTTCCTTAAGAAACGCATTCAAAACAGAAACTATGGCTACTGTAGACCATTCTCCAAACACAATTGTCCATTATAAACAAACATGCAAACTGCAAACATCCAGCTAATTTTTCTGGTAATCACATGAAAACTCACTAAAAGAAGCAGGAAAATTAACTTTTGTATTTTATTGCAATGTGTCCAAAACTGCCACCATTTTCCTGCAAGCCCACACGAAGACATTTTGGATATGTTGCCTTTGCGGTCACACTCACCATGCATCAAAGTTTGTACTGGCCACATTTTTAGTGGTCCATAGTGATATGCACCTACAGGTACTACTTTCTGTTTCCAGGACTTTCTGCCCACTGTCTATGACTCCCAGACCCAAGGCAGCTGTGGTTCAGTGCTGTGCTGAGTTGGGAGACCCTGGACTGGGCACACTCTTTGTTGGGTTAATGACTCCATTGTTCCTCTATTAGTCCGTTCAGAGCACCACAGGTGAGAGGCTTAAGCTGCAGGTTGCATTATCTCACGTGTTGAAGGCCAGAAGTCCACGTCTGTGACAGAAGTGTCACAGGGCTGGCTTCTCCCGAGGTCTCTCTCCGTGACTTGCAGACCACATTTGACACAGGCTGTGTCTGTCCCACGCCCCGTCTCGCCAGCAAGAACCACGCGGGACACAGGATCCTTCTGCAGAAAAGCTTTAATGCCCCTTGGGAGAGCGAGCATCAGCCAACATGACGGAGACCCAGATATGAAGGAACCCATCCCTTATATAGGAAAACAGTCCTTGCTTCAAACGTGTCACTCTTGGATAGGTCAACTGTCCATTATCCCAGATGACGCCTCGGGAGTAGGCGGGGACTCAGTGGAAAGTTACCGCGCACCTGTGCGCTCATCTGGCGGTGAAACCGGATGTCAGCGCCATCTTGTAATGGAGAATGTGGCTGCAGCCCTCTACATGTGTCCTAATGTCTCTCTTCTTCATCTGAGAGCACCAGTTACTGTGGTTAGGGATCATGTGACCTCATTTACCTTGGTCATCTCATTCAAGATCCTGCCTCAAATTCAGGTGCCAAGCATGGGAGGGACAAGGAATCTAATACACAGAGTCCAAGAACCACTCTGTGTTCAGTAACAAAATCCCCCACACCCGCTGTCATTTCCAACCATTCACTGCCCTCTGCGTGGCTACTGCCGGTATCAGGACTACCAGTCATGAGCAGAGGGGCACATCTGTCTCTTCTGGGACCGTTCTCGCTGGAACCTTTTCAGGGGATGGGTGCTAGTATCCAGGAACACCTTGGCCCAGCCCCTTGGGAACATTCACAGTGTGTCATGCATGCCCTGCATCATGCCCGCATGCATGGCAGACAGCACCCTGTCACTTGGGTTTTTTGTTTGTTTATTTGTTTGTTCTTTTGTTTTCTGAGACAAGGTTTCTCTGTGTTGCTTTGGAGTCTGTCGTGGAACTCGCTCTGTAGACCAGGCTGGCCTCAAACTCACAGAGATCTGCCTGTCTCTGCCTCCCGAGTGCTGGGATTAAAGATGTGCGCTGCAGCAGCCACCGTTACCACCACCTGGCTTACCCTGTCCCTTTAAGAGACAAGCCCCACCTACTTCTACTCTCTTTCCTGCTGCTCTTCTGAAGGGGCAGGCAGGACCTTTCCAGGACTTCTCTTTCTCTCCCCCTCTGTTTCTCTCTTTCTCTTTTCTTCTCCTCTCTCCCTTCCCTATCGCCAATAAAACTTTCCACTAAAGTTCTATTTGCATAGTTCTGTTTGTCCCTCACCCACTGTGGGGCCACCCACCAGGATGGATCTAGTTTTGTTTATTTTTCATTTTGAGACAGATCTTATATAGCCCAGCTAGTATGAACTCACTATGTAGCTGAGGATGACCTTGAACTTCTGATCTTTCTGCCTTTCCCTCCCAAGCATGTGCCCAGACACTAAGCACACTGAGACATTTTTGAGAAGCCCCAAGAAACCCAAGGAAGACATCTGCTTTTGATGTGTCTGTCATCCTAATGTTCAGATAAAGACAAAGCCTGTGCCCAAGGGGGCCACAGAGACACCCAAATACCCAAACCAGTCCTCAAAAAGGCCATCACTGAAATGAGTGGCCCAGGCCAGTGGAGAGGCCATGAGGGACATGTGCTGCTTGTCCACTTCCAACTTCAGGCATAATGGGAGTGACTGCCTCTCGCTCCTCCCAGTGACGTTTCAGCCATGATGGGCTCATCTGGAGCTGTGAGCTGAGTCCTCATGTTGCTTCCATCATACAGCAGCAACCATCAGGAGGCTAAGACACTATGACATCATTCTGGATTATGAGATGCAAAACTCAGGCTTCCCTAGAGCACTGCTCCCCATCTCTGGTGTACTATCTCTCTGTACATGGACGCCACACGAAGTCCCCAGAGCAGCTGCAGCCTTCCTGCAGCAACGAAGCCCTAAACCTGCGCTAAAGAGGGCAAAACCAAAGTTAGTTCTTGCCAAGTCGCAGAATTGCCACGCTGCAGCCTCAAGCGCTGAGCACAGACACCATGCTATGCGATCTGGCTCAAGGAGAAAACAGGGGATCACTGACTACCACCACTGAACTGGGGAGTCGCATAAGGCTGGCAGACCCCCCCCCCCGCATCTCCTGTCTTCTCACAGCCTTGGGTCTCTCGCACACATGGGAAACACGTATTAACACGTGTGTGAACTGGGAATGCCTCTCTCCAAGGCCCCCTGGGCTTCCTAGAGTGAAGGACTTTGAGCTTTAAAACCAGCATAGTCTCACGAAAGCTGCATCACCATTTCTGTAGGTTCATTCTTGGGACAAACCAGGGTAGGAAAGGAGTTGTTTCGGGGCCAAGGAGGCTTCAATTCCATCTCATGAGGCCATCTCGAGACATGTCACTAAGCTCTGCTCTGGGAAACTGAGGCAGCTCTCTGCCTGCATCCAGTGACTGGTTGGGGCAGCAGAAGTTCCAGACAGCGCTGGCCTTGGGAGCAATGGCCATGGTTGTCCCCATGGCCTCCCACGCAACCCTGGCTCTTATTTTAAAAAAAAGTAGCGCTAGGGAAAGGCCAGGCATTTCCTGGGGCACACACTGCCATGGGGGCGAGAACCTGGTAAGAAGGGTTGCTTTGACAGCCCAAGTGGGACAATTCTCACTAATCTAAGAGCTTCTGGGGCCTCTCTGACCCTGCTGTTTCTTCTGTGCAGGGTTTCTGCACAGTGGGTAGGACTAAGTATTGTATCCCTGCCAGGCTAGTGAAGGACTAGGGAGGTTAACCCAAGCTGAAGAGCTCATGGGTGCAGCGCTGGAGAGGCGTGGCAGGGGAGCAAAGGTGTCCTGCACGAAGGCGTCTGTGGTACCCAATGGACAGAGGGATGATACAGTCACAGTAAAAACCTCCTGGGTTGGTCTCCACTGGTCCTCACTGCTTACTCTTCCTTGGGTTTGTCAGGATAACGCCGGGCCAGCCTGTAGTCCATATAGGTCCCCAGACAGGACCACAGAATGAAGCGCACCAGGAGGATGATAACCAGGAGCATCATGAGTGGATCAGGGCCAACGGTGTCCCCAAGCCAGGAAGCCATGCTGGAGCAACAGCAACCTCTCTGGGGCCTGAGCTCAGTTCTGCTTTTCCTGCCGGTGGCCCCTTCTGAGGGACAGACCGGTGCAGTCCACAAACAGTCCTTCCCACCGCACAGGGCCTCCCTGCCTGTGAGGGGACAGTTGGGGCTACAGGCGGCCTCCTTGGTCAAGAGGCCCGTGCACCATTCATGGGGAGCTAAGCACTCCGTGCACCGACAATGGCAGCATTGTCCAGAGGCCCTGGCGGCGGGAGGCCTGCGGGAGCCCGCCTCCCGCGCTGTCCCCGCGGCCCCTGCCCGCCAGGCTGACGTAATCCCCAAACATCTCCGGCGGTGGCAGCTGCAGGGCGAAGCAGCCGCCTCCTCCGGGCCTTTCCGGCTGCCGCAGACAATCGGGCTCTTTCTCTCCCCAATTAGCTATCACTTCTGGAGGCCGGCGCAGTCCAAGGCTGGGCGGGCTGTGCAGCAGCAGCAGCAGCAGGCCCGCACCGAGCGGGGGCCACGAGGCTTGCAGGGAGGCCCGGCCCAGCAGGGAGGGCGGCAGGGAGACTGTACTATTGAAAAGAGGAGAGAGGCACAGAGAGGGGAAACAGTCGGCTGGAGCCCAGAGGTGACCCCAGACATGGCTCAATTAGCACACAGGCTGTGCGCAGAGTCCCCAAGGCAGCTCCAGCCTGTGGCAGCATGGGGGTGGTCAACACAGACCGCCCCAGAAAGGGTCTGGAACCTGGGAGGAGGGGTAATCTCTTCCCTCCGGGGCAGCCTCTGGAGGTGGGCTGAACACCACCCGCTCCAGCCCCACAAGAGGTCTCTGAGAAGGAACCCCTACCGGCACCCCCAGCCGCCTCACACAAGCCTGCAGGCCGATTAGCCTGGGACTCACTGAGTGGTGGTAGAGAGGATGCTTGCTCCCTTAGAACTCAGGCTCCTTGCTGGGAAATGAGGTCAGAGCCCCCTGATCTGAAAGACAAAGAGAGTATACCTTAATGGGCTCAGCAGTGCAGAGCAGACACCCTGGAGATGCACCTCCAGAATTTTCCAGAAAAACAGCACCTGTCCAATTATGTCTGTCTGCCACGCACATGTCTGCTCGTTACATACAGGTGTGCCCCCACACACACATACACACAAACCCTGTCCTCCCGCCATAGTCCACTCTGGCCCCTGATAACCAAGTCTCCTTGGGTGAGAGACAGCTGGCTTGCTGTCTCCTACCCCTAATACCAACTTGTGCCCCACAAAGGAGAGCATCACCGCATTGTGCAGGGAATGAGGGTCAGAGTATTGAGCCACAGGGTACTGGACTTCCAACCCAAGCTGTCTCCCCAGGAGCCAGTCCAACAAGCCGAGAGAGATGCCAGGTGGCCCTTCCACAAGGAGAGCCTGTCTACTCCATCACCTGTCACCTCTCCCTGAACTCGCCTCGGTGGCAATGTGAGTATTCAGCCTGTACAGCCTTTCTAGAAGGTTCCTAATAATGCAAACACAAAGGACTGGCAGGCGTCACACCTGAGGGTAGGAAGTGGAGAACGAGGGTGGTGACAATCTGTGGGTTTCACAACACTGACCTGAAGTGTGCCAGATGCACTTAAGTTACCGGTGTCCACCCTCCACCTCTCATCCGGCAGCCAGTACATCCCTGGACTCACCGAGACTATCTCCCGCTCTGCAACTTACGGGGCATCCTGCCAGGCCACCCAACCCAGCACTCTGGGGACAATACTCTCAGAACAAGTTCCAGGTTTATTTTTCTCACTCCAAATGTAAATGAGGGCCTAGAAATTCGAAGCCAGGCCCAAGTATTTGCTTGCCAAGGGTTTCTGGAATGTCCTGGAAGATCCTGTCACTTAATAAAGAAACCTACGTGAATCTGGGGCGATGGTCCCCAGATGGATACCACCGTGCTCTTGGGAAGGGAGGAAGCCAAGGGCTCCGCTCAGCCAGCCGCTCACTCACCTGTGAGGCCACATCTCCAGGTAAGGCTGGCTTTCTGCTTTCTTGAAAGCCAGAGCTGTGTGCGCTGAGCATGGCCACCAGCTCAAGCCCCACCAGACTGGTGGAGCCAAGGTGGCCCCGAACAAAATTCTGTGTTTGTCAAGCATACCATCAGATAGGCAAAGTCAATATTGTCCCAGGTCACGTGGCACCTAGACACAGGAGACTGTGGGGTCAAGGAGGTCTGACCTCTCCTGTTCATTGCCTCCAAGAGTCAGCAAGCACAAGGTCTGAGTATCCTTCAAGGGAGGAAGTGTGTGGCCCTCCTCCCCTGGACAACACCACGCTGCTCCTAAGAGAGGATGTGGGTGGGGGTGCTGGGTCTCAGGATGGAGGAAGCACAGGAAAAGCCATGAAATTGATAGAAACAGCACAGATACAGCTCCTCGGCCTCGAAGACACTTGGGTGCCCCCACTGTGGCAAAAGAGACTCTGAGTCACTCACAACTGTCAGCAATGGTGACATGGTCTGTGTTCTTCCTGATCCTTTAGGGCCCCCCAGCCTCATTACAGGAGCTAAGGAGCTGTCCCCTGGGCAGACCTTGACCATGCAATGGATGAGCCCTGGGTCCCCTGGGCTAACTAAATGGTACACAGCCACTAGAACATCCTGCCATTGAGGAAAGGGGCTTGTGCCCAAAGCCAGTTCTTTCATGGCTTCTGCCATCCCCATCCTCCTGCTTTTTGACTTCCTCTTGGCCCATCACATCCTGAAACACTTGCGATAGGTCATGGCCCAAGGCAACATGACAAACCCAGAGACGCAAACAGTGTCTATAATGCTATTCAGAGCTGAGCCATGGAGGCTCCTGTCACTGTCTCGGAGGTCAGATCTGGAGACTCTGGTTAGCTTTGAGTCTTGAAGGATTGGTTCATGGTGGCTTCCTACACCTATGTTCAAGCACTGAAGTGACAAGGGACAGGTTTCTTGTTCACTATTCCCTGGTGTTTATCAAGTAAAAGCCCAGGCTGGTGGGGAAGGGCAGGGTGAAAAGCTTGGGAGGGGGCAGCTCTTTCCAATGGAAGCCTGGTTTCCACTGGGGGTCTGTTGTCCCTACTGGTGACAGTGCTGGGAATGAGCCCAAGGACCCACTCAAGTGCCTGCTCAGAGCCCTCAGCAAGCAGGTCTGTGTCCAGGTGTCACTTCCTTGTTCATAAAGTGCACAGCCACCATTCCTGGTGGCAGGCAACACGGTACTGGACATGCTTCACAGGGGTGGCGCACCCGGACATCACTAAGGCCCCACTGGACTGCATGGACTCGACCTTGTCGCAGAGGCATAGTCAAGGTGCACACCTGCTTCTGATTGGTTTATAGTGCTGGGCGGGGGGGGGGGGCATCATGTGAGTGTGTGAGTGTGTGAGTGTGTGTGTGTGTGTGTGTGTGTGTGTGTGTGTGTGTGTGAAGGCCAGAAGTCAACCTCAGCCCCAGACACCAGCCACTTTTTTTTTCTCTTTGAGATAAGATCCTTCTCTGATCTGGAGCAGTGATCTGCCGGTCTCCACCTCCCCAGTGCTGGGGTCTCAGAGTCTGTCACCATACTTGACTTTTTCTCAGGTGCTAGGGATGGTGCTTGTGTGGCCAGCTCTGCCCAGTCCAGAGCGGCTTTTCCTTTTCCTCCGGGCACTCACAGTCTCTAAACTCTCTGGTGTTTCTCTATCAGGAGCTCTCCCGGGTCCCCTGGTGCCACATGGGCTGGGGTCTCTAGGACAAGTTACAGGAAATTCACACTTCTTAGATCAGATTCTGCCAAAACTGTATAGCCTCCAGCTAAGAAGTGCTAAGAGTAAGAAGACTCCTCAGCTTTAGTAACAATTGTTACTTTTATTTCTTCTCCTCCTCCTCCTCTCTTTCTTCTTTGGTTATTCCAGACGGGGTTTCTCTATGTAACCCTGGCTGTCCTGAAACTTACTCTGTAGACCAGGCTGGCCTCAAACTCACGGAGATCCTCCAGTCCTAACCCCCACCCCCACCCCCAGTGCTGGGATTAAAGGTCTGCGACACAATACCTAGCACTTCCATTTGTTCTGAACATTTATTTCTGTACTGTAATCATGGGTGTTTTGTCTGCATGTGTGTCTGTGCATCGCATGTGAACAGTGTCCACAATGTCCAGAAGACTGTGTCAGTCCTCCCGAAACTGGAGTTACAAACAGTTGTGAGCCACCAAATGGAGCTAGAAACTGAACTCAGGATCTCTGCAAGAGCAGCCAAGGCTCTCAACGGTTGAGTCATCGTCCCAACCCCCAATGGTTACCTTTATCTTTTTACAAAAATCAGACACTCATGCTGACAGAGACTGAGAGAGTAAGAATGAGAAAGAGGGAAAAAGAGCACATACCTTACAGAAGTATAGGGATTACAAAAGTAACGGTCAGTTACTTCTGCCAAGAAGGAGCTCCAAAGGGTGAGGAAGCCTCGGTAACCCTGGGGATACTCTCAAAGAAAGTCTGTAGTCAGCCCACTTCTTCCCTGAGAACCCTACCCCCAAACACGCAGTCGCAGGGGGCCTGGTAGTGCACGTGCAGCTATAAAACAAGGGCTCAAGTTCAAGGCCAATGTGAGCTACAGCATCAAACAGGACCCAGTATTGAAAAACAAAAGGATCTGGCTGAGCGGCTAAGGCACCTGCCTCACAAGCAGGAGGTATACTGTAGGGTGGGTATGGCAGTCTGCACGCACCTCCAGCTTGGAAGGCAAACCCCTAGCCCTGTAGTTTGAGCTCAGTTTGACTGAAGGACCTGCCTCATTGAATAAGATAAAGAAGAGGGACAGAGATGATCCTCCACATACACACATAAACGTACACTCATGCAAAACTCTACACACACATATATACACATTCACGTGCCCACACATGCAAACCTACACACACACACACACACACACACACACACACACACACGCACACACACATGCAAACACTACACGCACACATATATACATGAATGGAGGCAGGGACAGGCATGGTAGCAGTGCACATCTATAAAGTCAGCAGCAGGGAGGCTGAGGCAGGAGAATCAGGAGTTCGAGACCAACCGAGGCTACCTAGTAAATTGGCATTCTAAGCTACATGAGACCCTGTCTTGAAAAAAAGAAAAAGAAAAAAGTCCAGCCCCTGAAATCAACAGAACGTGCTTTTCAAAGAGGATTGCCCCCTCAGTGCTTGAGACCCCCAGACAGGAGAAAATAAATCTTTCTTCCTGCACCACAAAGGCAGATTAACACTGCCGCCGCTGGCGGGACAAGTGGGGAGGTGGAGGGCGGGGTCAGCGAGGGGCTTGTGTCCCGAGGAGGGGCAGCCCTCTGAAAAGGCCGCTGCAGGCAAAGCCCGAGGAGGCCGTCTTGCAGCCAGTGAAAGCCAGTGTGTA